CTTTACTTTTATGTAAATTTTAAACGTATTTCCAAACGAATTTTCCTAGAAAAATAAAATAATAGAAAAAATAAACATGTGAAATAATGCAAATTGTTTTATTTTGAAGTTTTTAGTGCGAAATATCCGGTCATTTTTCGAAGTATCGTTTACGTCACAATTCTCGCGAGATTTTCCTTACCTTTAACAGTACACAAAACAAGGTAAAGTTTTGCAGAACTGGAGACATGACTGGTGTACTGACACAAGGGGCCYTTGAGGTTAGTATTTATAATGAATACGACTGAACTTTTAAATTGTTATATTTTGACTGTGTTTTTATTTTACGAAACACTTAAATAGCAATGTTGTGCCGCCCCCAGAAAGCTGTTAGCTGCTAGAGCTAATCTGATCGCTTTACATGATATACAGTTACAGCTGCAGCGCTTAACCTATGCTTGTAAGTCGTGTTGACAATTGGTTTGCCAACAAAGATCAATGACAAATAAACGGGATGTAATTAGTTTTCCCTTAACGTTAGCGACTTCAACATTAGCATCATACAGGATGTGATGGTGGACAGTAATGATGCTCAGGCACTAAACAAGTCCATGTGACCATGTGTTTTTCAGGCCCTTGTCAAAGGCTCACAAATAAAAAACCCTGTTCTGCAGCTTCTGGTAAGTAAATCTAGACTGAAGTGACTTTACAAARGGAGTTCAGTTGTGTGCATTCATACTGTGATGATGTTTAAAATAACAAWAAGTGAATGAACACTAAACAGCACTTCAATAGATTTTAAGCTCCAACTATGCAACAATTGTGGATAAAGTTGAAGTTGTAGTTAATAGATCACAGTTTGTAAGACAAGTACATTAGAATGAGTTTTTGTAGCACCTTTGAAGGCAAAATTAGTATTTTTTTGTAGTCTCCATTCATTTTTTGTGTGTTATAATTACGTTTTAAATCATGATTGTTTTGTATTTCAAACCATGCTTTACTCAGTTTTTATTTTTTTAATTCCCAGGATATTCGTAGTCTTGATAATGGCCCAAACCCACCGAGGTTCCGGGTTAAGATGAGTGATGGTCAGCACTTCCTTTCCTGTACGTAAATGTGTGGTTTGTAAGCAAACTGACTGTACAAATATATAGTCCAAATGAGCAATATCGTACTAAAATAATATAAATATGTAACAAAAAGGTTTCCAGGCCAAGTTAGACTTGAAGCTCCAGGTGTATGAAGTACATTAATACTTGAATGTACTTATTTTATGTCTTCAGCCTTCGTYCTGGCCACCCAGTTAAACAGTCTGGCAGAAGAGAATCTCCTTGTCAAAAACTGTCTGTGTACGCTAAAGCGCACCATCATTAACACTCTGTCAGATGGCAGGTGAGTCTTCCTTCCTTGTGTACTTTTTCCGCCTTATTTATCTTCATTTTTATTTACAGCTTCTTTTGTGCCTTAATATACCTACTTATGTTTTAGACAAAAGTCTTTACTTTCTTTTTATTTATTTTGTTTCTCTTTGTTGTGTTTTTATTCAGAGTTAAGTGAAGTTTTTTTTATTGCTTAGCTCAGTCACTAAACGTAAAGATGATTGCGTCTTTGTGATGTGTTGTATGCAATGAACACGAGTTACTTTTTATTGTCATATGTGTTTATTTTGTGTGTTCGTTGTTTTGTTTTATAGCAGTTAATAGTCACAGTGCTGTCATATCCTAGAACATTTGTAATAAAAAAACTTAAAATCTCCACAGTCAGTTTGTTGGTTGTTGTTGTTTCAGGCGTGTGGTCGTTATCATGGATATGGAGATCTTGCAGTCGGCAGAGGAAACTGGAGGAACGATKGGAAATCCAGTTTCATATTCTACAGATGGTAGGATTCTTTTAATGATTTATTATTGATGGTAGAGATGCAGGTGTATTATTTAATTATTTTTGGTTTATTAYCAGGGATGGTGTCATCAACCACAGCTGGACCAGCATCATCTTCTTCGTCTGCTGAGAGACCTGGACCATCCTTTACGAACAACAGCAGTAAGTGACCAGTCAGGGATTTTATATTTGATTTTATGCTTTTGTAAATATACTCTTTTGCTAGTTTTTGTCGACGCTAATAAATTAACTAGAATCCTAATTTTTAAATAAATATTCTAATAAAGGAGGCAAGAGACCAGTCATTTGTTAGTTATAATAAAACAATGCTGTTCAACTTTTGGCTGCTCCCTTCTTCAGGGGATCCCCGATTAGTTGTATTACACTTTATTTAATAAACATATATTTTAACTGTAAAATAAAGACTCTAAAAATACTGTAGGATGTTTAGTTTTTATAATTTTTAAACTAAAAGTTTAAAAATATATTACACGGACGGGGACATTTTATTTACATGCAAAGCATTCTGGGTAAATGATGACATGGGTAGGTCGTCGGTACGAGGCTGCTAGTGAGCTATATCCACCCTGAAGATTAATCTTGGACAATATCTGATGATKGACTCTTTTAAATGAAACCAGAGAGCGTTGACAGAGAGGAGAAGATAGAYATGACTCAGTTTGTAACTGAAAATATGYATGGAGGACCTCAGTTTAGCTTGTTTGTCGTGCTAGCGCCGAGTTAATACAAATAAGGCAATATAGCGTCAGTGTTAGCACAAAGGCTAACAGGCTAGCTGAGGTTCTTCTTCCATGAAGCAGCTCTGTTGTCCTCCATCTATATTTTCAGTTCCAGGCTGAGTCATTTCTACCTTCTCCTCTCTGTCAACGCTCTCTGGTTTCATTTAAAAGAGTCGATCATCAGTGTAGGGGTCACCTCGAGTGAAGAAACAAGATTTACTCCCTCGAAGCAGGCCTCAGAAAGGCCTGGCAGAAGGCAGAACACTGACCTCTATTTGGGCCATGACAGGTCATTTCAACCTAGAAGAGAACTTCTCAGTTCTCTTAAACAAATAATGAACAGAACAATCTTTTCTGTTCATGATTCATTTGTTGTTTAACTAAGAATGTTTATGCATTTGTTAAATCATATAATGACTGTCACAAAGAAGGTGGAATCACTTCTACTCTTTTATCATGTCTAAAAGATTAATTAATGATATAAAAATCACAGAGAAAATCATCACCATGTTTTCATTGTGTTTTTATATAAATCACTGTTTTTATTTTACTGGAAATATCAGTAATATAATTTTGAGTTTTCCTTGAGAAAATCTTTAATTTATCAGGACTAACAAAAGTTTCAGACTGATTATTTAAACAGAAATGTTAATTAATCATCATAAATGTTTTACAGTGATTTCTCTTAGTCTATCAGAAAGAAAGCTAAAGGAGATATTATCAAATGTCTGTTAAAACAACCACAGAATTTGACCTTGCACTGGCAATGCTGGCAAGCTTTATCTTCCTTCCTTTCTCTGACTCATTCTAACGCCTGGGGGCGGAAACAAATTCGTCCGCTTCTATTACTAACACGGACGTTTTTGAGAGACGGAACACACTTCTTCCTGATTGCCAACGGGGAAGACCCTGATTTCTCTTCGGAGAAACCAGCTCGGCCTTAGATCTCGCCCATAAGCCAATTAGGGAAGACCTGACGGCCCGGACAGGGGCAAGCCGCCGACTGTCCACACTGAGACTACCAGTCTCAAAGTGTTTTTCAACTCCCGAGGGGAGAACTTTTATTTTGAAAGACGAACCGGATACATCAGTTTGAATCTTTCTGGCGAAGTTTGAAGCAGACGAAAGTTGCCTAAATAACACTTTCTCGCCAAGGAACAGTGAGCGGGCCGAGCGACACTTTCCCTGACTGGTCTGAGGTGAGGCAGTATTTGCCCGGGGTGTGGTAAAGAATCCAGCAACAGGTAAACGTTGTCGTGTTCCGGGGTGACGTGTCATGTGGAGTTCTGAGCGCAGAGAGGACTTGCTGATCCGGTTGATACACCTTAACAAAATAAAAGCAGAAACACTAACCTTATTTTCACCCCTTTTCTTATCCTTTACTTGCCAAACTTAAGTTAAAAGCGCCTGTAAAATTGTTTGGCTGTTAACATCAGAACTGACGTTTTTAATGTTCTATATAAGTAATCTGAGTTTAATGTGAATTGAAATTCGGACGCGAGTTTTTACCTCATTTTAACTCTGACGCTTGTTATAGGAAAACCCACAATCTACTTATGATCTGTTCAATTTGTGTAAATAAATGATTGCATAATCTTTTATGAATCAACTTGAACTCGTCTGAAAGTTCCCTTATTGTGTCACTTTTCACTTTGCACAGTCAAAAATATTAAAGTAATGAGGAAAATACCTTGGTAAAAACTTCTCTCATGACTAAGCTATGAGAAGTATGTAGAAGGTTTATTTTACATAAGTCTACCCCCTACATCAGATATTGTCCAAGATTAACCTTCAGGGTGGATATAGCTCGCTAGCAGCCTCGCACCGAGGACCTATCCACGTCATCATTTACCCAGAATGCTTTGTGTGTAAATAAAATGGCTCCGTCCSTGTTAAAATATATTTTTAAAAATGTACAAAACTAAACAGCCTACAGTATTTTTACAGTCTTTATTTTACAGTGGAAATATATGTTTATCAAATAAAGTCTAAAGTTACAACAAATCGGGGATCCCTTTCAGGKGTGCCATGAGGGATGGGTGGTATTGATCTTTTTAATACCGCTGTGTAAGGTATTTCTGGGGCTGCTCTGTGGCGTGTTGAGTAATTAATAATTCATGGGGAAATGTCTGCTTGTGAGCATTTACATGCATATAACTTGAAATTTTAGATCCAGAGAGAGGCGTGGAAAAAAAAACTGCTCTGAGCTGCTGCTGTCGCTCAGTCTGAGAGCAGCAGSYGTTTGCYGAATGGATTTTGCCTCTTATGCCGCACAGATCAAAATACATCCAAGTAGGGTCTTTTTTTAGGGTTTTAAGTTTCAAAATAAAATTGACTCTTGGTTGTATCTGCACTGCTGCCTGCTATTAGCTTGCTTTTGCCAAATGTGCAAAGAGTCCAACTAAGGTGGTTGGACTTAAACGTGGTGGTCTCCAAAGATGTCAGTCAGCAATAACCACAGAGCTACTGCAGCCCAGTCGTAGTAAAGCATAAATAGTTAAAAAAACACAAGAGTGGAGGTGGTTCTGTCTTTCTGTTCAATCCTATATTTGTTGATGATAAACATCTTAAAGATAAAAACATTTTTTTTTGGCAAATTACAACAAGTACTGTATGATTCTCATTAATATAATCAAAACCTTGTTTAACTTTGATGCACTGATAAAATTCTTAATTTTAAGTGGAATGAATAATATAACTATTTGTGATTTGTTTTAACTTTGAGTTTTTTTTTTTTTTCATTTTTGAAATCGTTTATTCTGAGTGTTGTTACTTCAGAGGAAACTTTAATTTGTTTTTCACTTCCTTATCAATCCAGCAGAGGGCGCCATTTACCTTTTTATCTAAAGAGTGCTGAGCAATAGTTTGTASTTTTATCACTTCTTTCCCTCTTAAACTATGTTGTTATTTAGACATAATTTGGCAACAACACAAACCGTTGTGTTTTTTGGTGCAACACTAACCAGACTACATTTTACCCAACACTTCAAAACAAAAAATTAAATGATAGTTATTTGTTTGTCTACACCTAACCCCACCTTTTTTGTATTAAGGTTTTAGTCAGAGTGTTAATTAAGATGTAAAAAGATTAATAGGCACTCTGGTAAAAGAGCCACAGGAAAATGTGAGCTAAGCTTGTTTAGTTGTCTGAAACACTAAGTTTTAAAAGAAAATGTTCATCTCTTTTCTCACGTTATTGACAAACGGCTCCAGCAGATTGCCAGGATTTGTTCATTCCTCWGTTTTGCCATCAGTCAGTTTTAGCAAACGTAACAAATTGTCTAAATAATGACCTATCTCCTGCCTCTGGGACTGGTTCAATGCATCATATCTAATGCATCTGGTGTATTGGAGCCTCTCCTAATAGCTTAGCCTTTGGTTCACTCAGTTGTTTTACAGCACCAACTGCTCTCATCACCGGCATACCCAGTAGTCATTCTCAATAGAAGATGTAGTCTTGTGGGTGGATAATGAGGGCATTTTGTATTGTGTGTTTGTGCAAGCGTAGGTGGGTGTCTCTATGTGCGTGTTGTGACTGAGGGAGCATGTGTGGGCTGGTGGCTCCTCCAGTTTGTGGCTTTATGAATATTGTGTTGAGGACTAATTCCCCTGTAGCGATACACAGACGTTGTCGCGGGGGGACAAAGTCGGCTAATTTGACTCAGCAGAGACGAGGTTCAGCGTTTCCTCGCTACATCCTTTCATCCGTAATACCTCAGAAATCCTGCCAGATACAGAAAACCTGCTGTTCTGTTTKGTTCTCCAGCCAATAAAGTTGCCTCAGACATTTTATTTTTAGTCACAAGCAAACCTCGTGTTTGATGTCCAAGTGTTCGCTCTAAGTGAATTTGGCTAACACTTTAAACACCTTCCGATGTTTTTCTAAATTGCGTTTTCAGGTTGTCAATAACAAGATTGCTAAATGCCACAATCCAAGTGCTTRCAATGAGCTGTGAGGAAAATAATGACTTGGGAGACTGCAGTTTTTATTTGAGGGTCTGAGTTCAGATTCTTGTATGGATTTCACAGTCCTCAAGCTACTTACTGAGTCACATCTAGCTTATTTGGCTCATTGCCTCTTTCACTTCACCTTAGCTCTTCCCAGCTGGGATGTATTGAAGAAATTGGTGAAAATACTGCTCATATCTTTACTGCGCTTTTTAGTGGCTACAATTTTTAATGAATCGTGGTAAATTTGCCCCATATGCTGCATTTTTTTTAAATAAGTCTAAGACAGGGACTGCCCTGTCTTAAAACTATACTGGGTGGATATTTATGCTGCTCTACAGAAAATCTTTAAATGTAACTTTCTCTTTGGAATAAAGACTATTTAGACCATATTTTTGGATGCACAGGATKAGAGTAGGAATGTACAAACACCGGTTAGTGGCAACTCAAAAAAACAGGGACTGTGGTAATCGT